GGCTTAAATTGAAGCAAACTGAAGCGAGTGAGGAAAAAGAGGAGAGCTGTCAATCCCCATGTGCCATTACCAGGTATATCTGTGACATGAAAAAAAAATGACCATTTTATTCATGTAATGAAAAATAAAATGATCATTATAATACCCATTAACAAAATAGATTGTCACCCACTCCATCATTAAATAAAAAATTACTATTATTCTGACCAGTGTAAAAATAGTGGTCATTATAACTACCAGTTTGAAAATACTGGTCAATATTTTGACCATTAAAAAATTTCTGGTTGGTATTCTGGCCATTAAGAAAATAGTGGCCATTACAATGGCCAGAAGTGACTTTTCAAAGGGTTCTGAGGGGTGAAAAAAACAGAGTTAAAGTGAAATGAAAAATTATTATAACCTCCTCACTAGCCTAAAAGTATGAATAAATATTCAAAAGTTGTGAAAATTAAATCTTTCCGAAACGCGACGGAATTTCCGAAAGTTATCCGGACGCTGTTTTAAATAAATTCACTTCCAAACAGAGACTTACATTATTGTGTGATAAGGTAATCTTATAATATATAGATTTATATTTCTAAAACACACTTCTTATTTTGTTACTTTAAATGTTTTCACACATTTGTTTTATGTAAATCCTTACCATCAATCTTGCAATGATTGCACATGGTTTAGGTAAGTTAGGTTCTGCATCATAATTTAATCTTTCATCTGGTGACTCATCTCGTTTCTTAGCAGCAAGATGTGATATGCCAAGACATAAAGCGTTCATTGCAGAAGTATACTGCATTGGAACAAGACATTCTAATAAGAAAGGCCATAATACCTACAAAAACAATACAAATCAAATTTGTATTACAATCATTTGTAATTATGAAGCATGCAATAATCTTCTTTGTTGATTTTACCTCAGTGACCCAACTACTTATTTAGGAAGGTCAACATACAGATATATGTGAAAGATGAGTGATTTTACCCATTGACCCCCAAAGTTAATACTTTTTCACACAACAAATTCAAGTAACTTTTTTTTCATCAATTTCATCAGGCTGTATGCAATAGAAAATTATATCTATTTGTTTAAATTCACATAAATAAACTATTGAAAACTATATCAAATTGTGAAATACAATTTGAAGGGAAAAATTATGTACGGTGTTTGAAAAATCAAATGTAAATAAAATGTTATTCTATGATGTTACAACAGGTAAATGCTGTTATTTGTAAGATATAAAGACAAGACAAGATGAGCAGTAAACAAAGTGAACTCACACTTTCCATAACAGCAATTGTGGTTGTTCCCAGGTGTAATATATTATCACACATTGACCTCAGAGCATCATTACTGACAAATTCTGGATCAGCTGATCTTTTTTTCTGTTCGAATAAATTAAACATGAAGTGTACATGTCAACTTCCTGTTAATCCAGTGTAAAAATATTACAGATTTGCCCAGTTTGTAGACGTCTGCTATATGGGGCAGGTATAAAGGAACTGGAAAAGATTTAATTACTGTTATTTGCCTCGAGACTGCAATGATGTTTGTAATACTTACAGTTACATCTTCAGGTAATGAGCACTGTCTAACTATGAATTCCACCATCAATTCACCACCTTCTAATTCTAGATAACCATGATGAGCCATAGCTATAATCACTTGAGCAAACATCTTCTTCACCTACATGTATTTTCAAAGCATATAAATTGTCACTAATATCAGCTTAGAACATGAAATGTACACGTGTTCAGCCTAGTATTTGTACTTGTAACATAAACGACTAGAAGTAGCAAGTAACTAAATGTTCAATATTTACTTGTCAATTACATAATTGATTGCGTATGTGCTTACCTTGTTATTAGACTCGGGAAGTAGTATCTTCAGTCCTGTTACAATCAAAGATTTCTTATTTTCTAATAATGCATCTATAGAGACAGTAAAATTAGAGTTAATATATAAACATACTGGAATTCATGATGAAGCAATATTATAAATATTCTTATCTACGTGTCATATTGTTTTCCCATACCATGGTCTATGTGCCTGTTGTGGAGTTGTGGATTTCACAAACGAAGCAATATTTTTGTGGATTGCATTACTTTGTATGCTTTTACTGAATTATCAGTTCTGCATGACAAAAAAGGTTTCAAGAAAATACAATTTATTTGTTTATGAAAAGTGAAATTTTATTTATTTTTGTTTTGTTCTTTACATTCACAGGATTCATATGTGGGTAGGTGTTTGAGTAAGTGAGAAAGCATGAATATTTCAGCTACGATAATTACGAGTTATGTAAACATGTACACTTACCCAATGAATTGATCAGATGTTTCAGAATGGACAATGTTCCAATTCGCAGTTTCTCATTTGCTAGTTCTAACTTTTGTAATAGATATGTAATAATTCTATCACAGAATGATTGTGACATGACAGCAAAACATCGCAGTACCTCGTTATGATTCTTGACTGTCATTGGATTGGCGTAATCAGGTGTAACACAACACTGAAATAAATTTGAAATACAAATAGTTTCACCAATCCAGCAAAATTAGAAATAGATTTAAAAATAATGTACATGTTAATGTACTGTCTGCTGAAAGCTCCAGAAACAACATGCAAGGATGCTCAACTGTATGATAGAATACAGTACAGCAGAGTAACGACTGATGCATAGCAGAGGGTGATCCTAGTGCATACTTGGCAACCTTATTATTATACAACTTTCTGATATGACTAATTGGTGTAGGATGCCAAAACAGAGTAGAATAGTGAAAATTGTTTTAAAAAACTTCTATCATCTTGGAAACCATTCCACATTTGGAATTCACGTTTCCTAATATTGTAAGGTGCAAATACCCTGTGCAATACCACGAATTATAGCACACTGTAATTTTCTAAATATGTATAGTTTTTAGTTGAAATTTTTATACTATTTCTTAACTTGAAAGCAATTTAGATTATCAGATATACTGCCTACCTGTCTGTGTAACTCATTCAATAAAACTTCTAAATGTGGTTCTAATATTGTACTTTCATCAGCAACTGCAGCTTTCAACACATTGCATAAACCCTACAAAGCAAAAAATGTAAGCTGGTGTTAGGCATTATATTAACTGAATCTAGCTTTATAACGCATCATCCTACACAGCACCAATGCATGCAAAACACAAAATCAAGGTCTTGAACTTTAAAATGTGTATTCAAGCCCAAAATTACTAGTTTCTTATTAGTTCAATAATAAACAAAACTAAAATGAGTCGGCCATTTTGAATCAGAAAATAAAAACAAATAACATAATTTATAATGTAATTGTAAAGTTTGACTGATCAGTCAATGTATACCCAAGTCGTAGCATTCACATTTAGCCTTTTTGAATCCGATCTGAAAAAAACATTTTTAAAATTTGAACATGATTGGTCAAAGCATGTCAGAGATATGTCACTGACTAGAACAGCATTACTCATACGAAATGGCTGCCAGCAGGCCATATTAATTATGATCTGAAAAACTTATGAATACTAAAGTATTTATTTTTAAAATCACACTAGCTTGCATATTACCTCAACCAATATCAAATCAACATCACTATTTCCCATAGATACACATACATATTAAAATTACAACTATAATGATACTGACTTCTGTAATATGAAATGGTTCATTGTGTCGTCTGTAGAGTCCCAATATTCCTGGTATCAACCTCGGCAATTGTTCTTCAAGTTTGTCGCTTGTCATCAAATTTGTCATATGACCAACTGCATCAACAATAGCCAATCGTAACTACAAAAACAGAATATCCAATTTTCCATTATTTTTTATTTACTTCACTGAGTACAACAGATAGGAATATAGTATTATCTCTGAGCCCAACTTGTTGAGCAATGGTTCAAAACTCATAAAATATTTTTGCTGGCATTCCTGACTATTACTACAAGAAAAAAATATGTACATGTATAATATAAAGTGTAAGAAAATACAACTGTTGTATTGCAGTCTTCTAATAATAATACCATGTTTACAAGTGTGCCACAGAGCTGGCTTGAATAGCTTGGTAATTAAACAATCGTTATCAGTGGTTTTAATTAGTCCTGTGTTCATACATGTATAAACCCTAAACTGAACCGGCATTATTATTGGCTGCCATGTTTCTTTAAAATATTTGCAATGAATAGATCTCCAGAGGGCGTGCTTTTAAGGCGGCCTTATTGTTCACACATGCTAAAACCGTTACTGAACAATGTATGTACGGGGTGCCGGCTGAGACTTGCTATTTTAGGCCGTCTTAAACTAAATGAGCATGATGCTGACTTATCTTGTTCATATGTGTTTCAACACTGGCCAACTATAAACCTGGTCTCTAAACCTTTTTTTTTTGGCACTTGTGTTAAAACGGTTTAAAACTGTAAAAGATTTACAGCATAGCAACTGTTGGTTGATCACATCTGCCAAGTATTAGTTTGTATTGTAATTTGCGCCAAGCATCTTTTATTAAATGACACAACAACAGAATGATACAAATGGTGGCAGTGTACAATGTAAACACAACTGACCTTAGCTTCATTAGTTTTAAGCCATACATTGAAGAGTATATCATACGCTGAATACATTTCCAAAGAATACGTATCTTTATGCACAGAGGGATCAGGAGCTTTATCTATGTTGGCTATATAGTCTAAAATAGCTTCGCAAAACTTACCAAGGGCTGAAAAGTAGAATAACATAACTATTAGGCTTGGGAAATCATTGATGAGACAAATGTAAATTTAGCAGTGTTCTGATTTACAAATCTGCCAACTGACCACATTCTGACTATTGAATGAGCATGAAGATGTGGGACATCATGGAATGTAACAATGTCTATTGTTTTTATGTATTATTGGGAAATATGATCAACAGTATAAAGGAATAGTTGGATTTGTTGAATCTCCTTCTAGTATTGGAGAAAATGACAGAAGTGATTATGGGTTCATTACATATCTATATATAGCCCAATGTTTATCTGCTGTAAGTGTTTTAAGTTAAAAGAGGCATTGTGCTATTAATACAATAGCATACTTTCTTTGAAATGGATTTATATTAGTCAGAATCAATGTTTACATTGATAAATTTATGTATAATTTGCATAATTATATGTATAAAGTGAAATAATTATCTCACCTGTTGAAAAAGCCCATCTCATATTATCATGCTTAGCCATACCTAACATTGGTAACATTGTACCAAGAACTGCTTTCATAAACGGTACCATTCCAAAAACTGTAAGAAAGAAATCAAAATTAATGAATATGAATACTACAGTCACGATAACATGTTCCCTGTAAAAACTATTGTTTCCCTTATGTATGAGTTGCACTTCTATGGAATTATATTCACATACGAGGAATACGTCCATGGAAGTTCTACATATATAACGGTGTAATTCCATGGAAGTTTATACACATGTATGTGAATGTATTTCTATGAGAGTTGTACATAGATGCCAGGTGTAATTCCATGGGAGTTGTATGTTAGAGTGTATTGCTAAGGGAGTTATACTTATTATAATTATTGAAGTTGTCCTTTTATGAGGTGTGTTACTATTGGGGGGTATATCAGGTGTATTTCTGAAGGAAATGTACCAATATTTTCATGTGTACTTTTACAGGACATGTGCTAATCAGGAGTACTTTACAAGAGAGACGTACTTGAAGATGTAATTTTAATCTAAGAAATGTACCATTAATTATATCAGAGAATACTAACCATTAGCAGAAGCCAGATGAGCCATAGTTTGAACAACAAAGAAATGTGGCAATGTTCCAGGTTGAAATTTTTTCAGTATTTCTTCCATAACTTCATTACAGTAATTAGCTCCCAATGCAACTAATAGATTACTAGCAGCAGTCTGCCAGTCTGGCATCACTTCCTATAAGAACCAAAATACAAGATGGTATTTACTTACTTTAGACTTGCATACAGTCCCTTGTTTATTTTTTTTGCTTTTTATGTTATAGGAGTGTACAAATGGCAAAAGCAGAGTTAGTGCGAACATCTGGATACCGCTGAATGCAAGTCTATAGATACTGTAACAATTCAGTATTACCAGGTACTGTACTGGGTAATGTAGCATAAAGAGAATGTAAGTTATTTGTGTGAATACATTGAAATTAACAACATCAATTATAATTGGCTTTGTTGATGTAGGGAGGTATTTGTGTTTGATCACATGGTCAGTTCGAAACTGAACATAATAATAATAACAAGCCATGCATGGCACAGTCCCCGCTAGTTATCAAATTTAAGATATATAGTTTTGTTTATAGTAATATAACTGGAATATAACCATGTCAGGAATATGATTTTTTAACATTAAAATGATTGACATTTGTATCTGATCGTCAAAAAAGTACTTGTCCATATTGAGAGATATTGCTCTGGAACAGCATTCAAAATCAGCCATTTTGAAT